CTTGCAGTAAAAAATCAATCTTTGTTTGCGTTGGATATTCCTTCAGAACTACACACGGGCCATTTGTGGTAGCCGTCTCTAATTTCAAACTGATCAGTTAGTTACCAGCACCTTCCGCCAACTATGGAGCTGCTGTAATCGAATAGCGTAATTTGACTGTCACTTTTATAACGCACCAATGGCATCTGGACAACAAACCACGGGCCACTTTGTGGTTAGCCGGTCGTCTAAGTTTCAAACTGAGTCAGGTTAGTTACCTGCACCTTCCGCCAACTATGGAGCTGCTGTAATCGAATAGCGTAATTTGACTGTCACTTTTATAACGCACCAATGGCATCTGGACACAAACCACTCCAATACAACTTGGTTTCACCACATATAGTGCCTTTCTCCAATACAACTTGGTTTCACCACATATAGTGCCTTTGCCCAATACAAGTTGGTTTTACCACATATAGTGCCTTTCTCCAATACAAATTGGTTTCACCACATATAGTGCCTTTGTCCAATACGAGTTGGTTTCACCACATATAGTGCCTTTGTCCAATACAACTTGGTTTCACCACATATAGTGTCTTTCTCCAATACAACTTGGTGTCACTACATATAGTGCCTTTGTCCAATACAACTTGGTTTCACCACATAAAGTGTATTTTTCCAAAACAACTTGGTTTCACCACATAAAGTGTTTTTCTCCAATACAACTGGGTTCTACTTGATTTAGTGCCTTTGTCCAATACAACTTTGTTTCACCTGACTTAATTCCTTTGTCCAATACAACTGGGTTTCGCCACATATAATGCTTTTCGCCAACTTAAGTCTACTCATACTGATTAATAATTGGATCATTAATCTCGTGCTGTGAACTGGAAAGTTGAATTTCACCCTTACCAGAAGTGACAGACAAGACAGCTAATCAGCACTACCCACCGCCTACTCTTGGGCTACTCTAATCGAACAGTTGAATTAACTGTTACCAGAAGTAACAGACAAGACAGCTAATCAACACTACCCATCGCCCACTCTTGGGCTACTCTAATCGAACAGTTGAATTAACCGTTACATGATTACTCCCCCTCCCCCCACGGCTGAAAGAGCGAGCATGTTCAGTTCGATGATGGTTTTCGAACCCACAGATTGTTGTACGCGGAAAGTTCTAACCACCAGGAGAAAATAATTTGCATTTCAAGCAATTTAGCAGTAACCTATAGACATCTGTAATGTTTTAAAAATTAAAGTACGTACACAGCCGGAGGTAATGACCTAGGTTACTTCAAGTTTTGGGAACTAATTAAATTGTGCTCTTAGTTTTGAATAGTTACCAGTAATTTGATTATATTTCAAACGTCATATTTTGTTTCTTCAAGTCTCAAAACAACATGAATTTTCTGGAACACATTAGATTATTTTAACCTTAAAAACTGAAACACACACAACAATAAATCAAACATTACGCATGTATTTTGTTAGGTGTTCAACTTCCTAAACTAATACTTAAACCAATTCTAAGATTAAGCTGTGATTTGCGTTTCCTATTGGGAATACGGTCGAACCGTGGATCCATAGTTTGTATCCAGATACCATTGGTGCGTTATAAAAGTGACAGTCAAATTACGCTATTCGATTACAGCAGCTCCATAGTTGGCGGAAGGTGCTGGTAACTAACTGATCAGTTTGAAATTAGAGACGGCTACCACAAATGGCCCGTGGTTTGTGTCCAGATGCCATTGGTGCGTTATAAAAGTGACAGTCAAATTACGCTATTCGATTACAGCAGCTCCATAGTTGGCGGAAGGTGCAGGTAACTAACTGATCAGTTTGAAATTAGAGACGGCTACCACAAATGGCCCGAAAGGCACTATATGTGGTGAAACCAAGTTGTATTGGAGAAAGGCACTATATGTAGTGAAACCAAGTTGTATTGGAGAAAGGCACTATATGTGGTGAAACCAACTTGTATTGGAGAAAGGCACTATATGTGGTGAAACCAACTTGTGTTGGAGAAAGGCACTATATGTGGTGAAACCAACTTGTATTGGACAAAGGCACTATATGTGGTGAAACCAAGTTGTATTGGAGAAAGGCACTATATGTAGTGAAACCAAGTTGTATTGCAGAAAGGCACTATATGTGGTGAAACCAACTTGTATTGGACAAAGGCACTATATGTGGTGAAACCAAGTTGTATTGGACAAAGGCACTATATGTGGTGAAACCAACTTGTATTGGACAAAGGCACTATATGTGGTGAAACCAAGTTGTGTTGGAGAAAAGCAATAAGTTTGTTGAAATCCAATTGTTGTTAAATTTACGGAAAAAATCAACAATCAAACTCTTAATAATATACTGTCAAACACCATTATACCAACAGAAGTGAAACAGCAGAAAAAATCAACATTCAAACTCTTAATAATATACCGTCAAATACAATTATACCAACAGAAATGAAACAGCAGAAAAAAATCAACATTCAAACTCTTAATAACATACTGTCAAATACCATTATACCAACAGAAATAAAACAACAGAAAAATCAACATTTAAACTCCTTATAATATACCGTCAAATACAATTATACCAACAGAAGCGAAACAACAGAAAAAATCAACAATCAAACTCTTAATAATATACTGTCAAATACAATTATACCAACAGAAGTGAAACAACAGACAAAAATCAATAATCATCAATCTCCTGATATCATACATTCAAATTCCATTATGCTCACATACAAAAGAACAGGAGAATTCTCAATAGCCGCGCCTGTAATTAGATTTCAAATCGGTCAATAGATGGAGCTATCAGCTAAAAGTTTGTACTTGAAAAAAAAAAAAAAACAGTCATAGGCCTTCTATGGCTTCTAGGCTAAAAATTCAATATAACAAAACGAGAATGATTTAATATTGGTCAAAACAAGGACAGAATAACGTTTTTTTTTTCTAATGTTGTATACAAAATGTTTCTAGTTGGTTAGGTCTCTCATATACTACAACTACAAAACATCAATGTCTGCAGCCAATAGCATCTTGGGTAGTCTGAGTTATGTCCAATTTGTGTTTGTAAACGATATTTCTTATAAATCCATTTTCCTTACCACCCATTATGCCACAATACAACAGGACAACTGCCATAAGAAATAAACAAAAGACGCTTCGCGATTAACACCGTTGTTCAATACGAAATAAAGATAGACTTGAAAGAAAATATAATATGAAGAAAAAAATCTAATAAAATGAAGTAGATTATCTTACGTGTTATAACAAAATTGACACTTTTGTCCAAGACAAATGGTTTTGCGTTCGTGAAATATATTGGATAATACCAAAAAAAAAAAAAATGACGAACGACGCGCGTCCTAAAACAATTCTTTTTTAATAACACTGCAGTTTTTATTAACATCGTATAAAACAAGGTTTTCAGACAATAAAGATGCGTGTGGACCTTCGAAGCTCATACTGAACTTGAAGTGTAAAATTAATTATTTACGACTACTAAAGAGAGAAAAGAAATAAAACTGTGTCTTATTATTTAACACGTTTAGCCTAGATCACATAATACAGTGGCAGTAATAAGTCTTTTCATAACTTTCTTGGTTGATAAAATAAAGATACATATCAAATTATTTATATTAAGTAAACGTTGAGTCAATCTTCAAAATTCACATAAACTATAATTCTCAATAAGTCTCGTTTGAGTGTAATTAGGCCTAAAAAATAGGCTTAGCGAAGTACTGTGTCTGTCGTGTCCCAGCCGTCCTGATGAGCTCTGCTGTATGGCGAAAGGTCTTGTTGGCAGTGAATACAACAGACATACATAGTGTAGTTGACATGCGGTTATTCCTTCTTCTTTACTATCACTCATAAGTTCTTAGAAATTAGGTCTGAAAAGAAGGCTTAGCAAATAATACCTTAGATGCCTGAAGATCAGGGATTGTGTTAAGTCAACCACGAGTATAACTCACACAAAGTAATAAATAACGACTGGCATTTATATATTTTGTAGGTTTTTTTGTTTTGTTTTGATTGTTAAAAAGCGCGATGTTAGAAATGAACACAAACACACCTGGCATCCAGAAACCTGGACCTCAGGATCATGACTGCTTCGCACGTACTCTGTTTCAGCTGGACTTGGATCGAGTTGAACTTTCGGTGGATAATGTGAACCATCCGTTCAATTTCTTTAGACGTGATTGGTCGATTCCGGCTCTGCTCTCTTAATAGGTTCATAACATGGGCTGTAAACTCGCTGCATGCCTTTAGGAAAACAAAAAAACGTTTTACATGTCACATAAGCTTAATCGATTCTTAATTAACAAGAAACTTAAAAATCTTTCTAAATACATTATCGATAAAAGGGGTACTTTCACGTACAAAAAATTATCACATTACTAATAAACACACAAAACAAGCTCTGATAACAATTTCCACTGCACACTGTTCCCTTGTACAATCACTATAACTTACGTTATATTCTATTGTATACTGAAACTATTGTATACGATAAAAAACACTTTAATTAAAACATCTTGAATATAAAACATTCAGAAATTTCTACACTTTCAACAAGCATAGAGTGTTTCACTTCTGTTGGTATAATGGTGTTTGACAGTATATTATTAAGAGTTTGAATGTTGATTTTTTCTGCTGTTTCACTTCTGTTGGTATAATGGTGTTTGACAGTATATTATTAAGAGTTTGATTGTTGATTTTTTCCGTTGTTTCACTTCTGTTGGTATAATGGTGTTTCACAGTATATTATTAAGAGTTTGAATGTTGATTTTTTCTGTTGTTTCATTTTTAATCTCGAAACCTTAGAGTAGTGGACTTCTGTAGATGTTTAGTTTTTTTTCCTTACATTTTCGTACAGTAACAACCATTTTCTGTAAAATCTCTAGAGATTTCTCGAAAAAATTATTTCGCCCTCTCACTTTATGTGTTGTTGCTGATGTTTTGAATCAGTAGTTTGAATTGAAAAATTCACAGATAAACAGATAATGTGGAGGTAATTTAATTAAATGCGTCAGATCGGAGAAATTCCTGCACAGGTTCTCCATAATTAGAAAATTTACTTTATATAACTTACAAATAGATGCAGTGCTTATCGCATTGTTATATGTGATAATATATGTAAAAGTTTAGCCCAAGTCACATTTTTGTTGGCCCGTCACACCAAACATGCTTTCCGTCGTGGGGGCGTTATAATGTGACGGTCAATATTACTATTTGTTGATAAAAGAGTAGCCCAAGAGTTGGCGGTGGGTAGTGATGATTATCTGCTCTAGTCTTACACTGCTAAATTAGGGACGGCTAGCGCAGATGGCCCTCGTGTAGCCTTCCGCGAAATTCAAAAAACAATCACATTCTTGTCACATGGTCTTATTTTAATTTGAATGAAACAGATTTTTTTGTTTGTTGTTGG